TTGTAAAAAAAAATCAATTTCACACATTTAGTCTGGATATCATTGACTGACAAAAAAATGTTGATTATTGTCTCAAAAAATCCTTATCTGTCTTCACCTTATTCCTTTCATATTCAATAAATTGTTTGGAACTAGGAACTGGTATGTAATTCAAAAGATCATCACCAAGAAAACTGGATACTTCATTATTATCATCTTAATATTCTTTCCATGCTAAAATAACGTATTTCTTGAAAGCAAGGTTTTCAGGTTGGCCAAAGTTGATAAGGATCATGAGACGGATTCTACCAAATAGGGCAGAACATAACCGGTGTCATTTGAAACCTTTGAAGTGAAAAAGACTTTATTTAAGAACATTAAACAGTTGAGAGGACAAACTCAATTCGGTAAAATACGGATCAGCAATGATCTCACTAAGCAGTAACGAGAAAATGAAAAGTTATTGAAAGCAGAGGCAAGGTGAATTGGACAGTAACGAACCACAGGGTACGAGGACCACCCTGGAACCGGAAAGTAGTCAGAGTTGTAGTAAAGGAAGATAAGGAATAACATGAATTCAAATGCGTTAAAACCAAGGCCCGATAACATCAGTAACAATAGAATGATGTCCGATAGAATAACATGTGTTTACACAAACGCTGATAGCCTGTTAAACAAATGAGACCAGCTGATAGCCTGTTAAAAAAATGAGACCAGCTGATAGCCTGTTAAACAAGTAAGACCAGCTGATAGCCTGTTAAACAAATGAGACCAGCTGATAGCCTGTTAAACAAGTAAGACCAGCTGAAATACAGAATTCAAATGTCAAATTGAACATATCATGCAGTTGGTATGACAGGGGTATATCCTGAAAATCCCAGGTACATCCCGAACAAAAGTGAACTGATGATACCTGGAAAGGACTTAATTTTCAACGAAAATAAGGCTTTATGTCACAGGGGCGTAGGTTTACACATTTGCATATTAAAACTTCTCTTTCGCCGATTGAAATCAATTTCAAATCTACATTTAAAGAAAGTGTTTGGGCCAGGTTAAACTTCGAATCGAAGACTGTCCGTTAATTAGATGTATCTATGAAAGTCCACACACAAACAATTAAAATGTTGAAGAACTGTATAAACTGTTCAACGCTGCATCACACGATAAAACATTTCCACACGTGCTGTTAATGAGTGATTTGAATCTTCCAAAAAGTAATTGGAATTCAATGTCGGCAAACCATGACCACGACAGTGAAAATATTATCGAATGTTTAAGGGACAACTACCTATCTCAACATACAATCAATACTACAAGACATCGAACACGAGACATTAAATACAAGACATTGAATACAAGACATTGAATACAAGACATCGAACACGAGACATTGAATACAAGACATCGAACACGAGACATTGAATACAAGACATCGAACACGAGACATCGAATAAAGACATCGAATACAAGACATCGAATGTTTAAGGGACAACTACCTATCTCAACATACAATCAATACTACGAGACATCGAACACGAGACATTGAATACAAGACATTGAATACAAGACATTAAATACAAGACATCGAATACAAGCCATCGAATGGGAAGTTAGCCAAGTACTCTGGACCTCATCATAACAAACGAAGGAGAGGATCAAAGTTCTCTTGGAAACAGCGACCATTTGATTCTTATGTTCGATTCTCTATGTTACAGCGAGCTGTCTGTAAATGGGATTATATAAGTACTGGGAAGTAGCTGGACATACCCTGGGAGAAGGTATTGAAAGGGGAGCCAGACACCATGTACAACACTTTTCACCAATGTATACCGCAGAGTGATGAAATTAATCTAAAGTTAGCATGAAGAGCATCAATCAAAGTCCGCAGGATAAAGAACTCCGACAAAAGCTTAACAAACACAGGGCGTGGCAGCGGTACATGGATACTCGGAATGAATCAACATATAAAGAATACATATCAGAAATCAAGTTAAATGTGACATCAGGAGATGTCGTCGAGATATGGAGAAAGACAATGCTAAAACATCAAACTAGACCCCTAGGTATTCTGGGCATATGTTAACTCGAAAAGAAAGGTAAAAATAGGGTAGCAGACTTAAAGTACCTAAAATGAAAATAAAACCAGTGACAGCGACAAAGCAGAAACTTTAGCTAAGTTCTTCAGTAGCGTGTTTGCAAAGGAACCATCGGGGGAGCTACCGGCATTAGAAAGACAATTGATCATACATCCACCTGAGGAAATTTGTGTGTAGCGAGAGAACCGTTAAAAAGTTGTCGGTAAATCTTAAATCTAATAAATCACCTGGACCAGACCATAGGCACCCTAAATCAATGACAGAATGGTAAAACTCCATCTCTAAACCGTTGAGCATGATTTACAACAAAAGTTAAAATGATGGAACATATTACAGCAATTTTTTTGAATGGTTCCAACCGAGATCCGGGAAATTTTAGACCGGTCAGTCTTCCACGCGTAGTTGGTAGAGCAATATACAACAACAGGTGCACAAAGCTAACGGAATCGTCTAAGGAGGTCTTTTATTTATTTAAATGAAACTATGTTCTGCCAACTATTTGAAGCCCTAGTTAGACCACATCTTGAATACGCGGCATGTGTTTGGAATCCATACAAAGTAAAGGAAATTGAACTTTCAAGTCACCAATGGACTCTTTGTACACGATAATTTATCTCGAAATCGTGGTCAATCACAAAAATTCAAATCATTGTAATTTAGATTCAGTTTCAACTTCAGGACAATACGAAAATATAATAGTTTCCCACTGAGAGTTATAGACTCAACTACAATTAAGGAGTTCGAGGTCAATTTAGATGAACACTGGAAAAATATAGATATGAAATATGATAACTTGGTAAATTTATAAGTTTTTGCATGTAATAATAATAATGATAATATACAACATTTGATATAGCTCCCTATCTAGCTAACATAAGCCACCCTAAAGCGCGTTACAGTACATAGATATACAATTTGATACAGTCAATACAATTAGCATATATATTAATCAATACAATATTGAGGAATTCGCAGAAGCTGCCTTATCAGGCGCTAACTACTAGTCATATGCCACCTGGCTAATATCTCCCTATGTGTGTTTGGCTGTGTGTATGCTGGAGATGTATTATGTTCTGTTTGTAGTGGGACCGTGCTTCCAACGGTATCATTTATAGTGCCACCTCACTTGAATGCTACAGCAAAGATACCACAACACCCACCCCAGACCATTTTATACTCCCCCCGGGTTGTTGGAGTTGTGTGGGCAGGAGAAAAACACTTTCTCTAATATTCCATGCGTACGGCGACCTCGGGGATCGAACCCGGCCGCCTGCTTAGAAGGCCGGAGTGTTAACCACTCGACCAATCCGCCCCTGCATGTTAAAATTGAATGTTAATGAATTATATGTATGTATCGTATCATTTGGATATGGAGGCATATATTTGGCTGCGTCCACCTTTTTACCTCTTACAAATCCTATTAAAAAGATTATCATCAACTAGAAAACGTGATATATTTTTGTCCGAAAAATGTTCAAAGCATGTTCAGCAAATTGCTAAATAGAACCGACACCCAATATAAATTTGAGAAGTGAAAACCAAGAAATAGCACGCCGCCACCAAAGCGAGAATTTGGTCAATGACAAGAAACAACAAAACACAATAAAGAGTCTATCAAGAGGCCCAATGGGCCTGACTCGCTCACCTGGTATTAATTTCACACGTGTAATCTTTAAAGTGGACTACAATACAACTACACGCAGAATATCGGTGTGTGATTCATAAGAACATATTAAAAGATTTAAACATATGACGACCGTGACCTTCAATGTCGAACAATTACATTAGGTTGAACAGAGTTTATAGTCTTCTAACCCAGCATGCTTCTGGCAAAATATCATTACCCTGGACCGTTTGGTTATACAGAACAAATCATTTAAAGATTTAAACATATATTGACCACTGTGACCTTGAATATGGGCGAAGGTCATTCACTTGGGAGTCCTACATCCTAGCATGTTAATGGCCAAATATCATCACCCTTGGCCTTTTGCTTATTAAGAAGAAGTCGTTTAAAGGTTTTTCACATATTCAACCTTTGTGACCTTGAGTATAAGTAAAGGTAATTCATTTGAATAAATTTGGTAGCCCTTCATCCGAGCATGCTACTGGCAAAATATCATCACCTTATACCTCTTGGTTATTCAGAAGAAGTCGTTAAAAGGTTTTTTCATTTGGACAAACTCGGTAGTCCTTTATTCCAGCATGCTACTGGCCAAATGTCATCATCATCATCATCCTAGGCATTTGGTTATTCAGAAGAAGTTGTATTACAGGTTTTTAACATATTTTACCACTGAGACCTTGAATATAAGTTAAGGTCATTCATTTGAACAAACTTGGTAGCCCATCATCCCGGCATGCTACAGGTCCAATATCAGTACCCTGAGCCTTTTGGTTATTGAGTAGAAGTTGTTTAAATATTTACAGACATTTGACCCCTTTGACCTTGAAAGTGGGTCAAGGTCATTTATTTGAGAAAAAATGGTAACCCTTCATCCCTTCGGGCAGGTGAGCTAATAAAAAACATATATTTTCATAACACACCGCCACCTATAAATACAAACTTTGTTCTAAGTCTGTCCGTCAACATTCGACATCTTTCACAAAAGTTGTGACAGTCGGAACAAGACAGTTGGAATCGCATCACCTGCAGCATGTTAATACCATACTTGAAGGAATAGAAATGATAAAAAAGGCAATGTTCACATAGGAAATGTCGAAATCGTCACATTTATCGTTGTTTATGTTTTTCGTCAGTAGTAACCGACTGACGGAGAAGAATCGATAGTGTTCTTGAGCTGTGTATATACGATCGACGTGACTGTAAATTTCTTATTATATAAAGACAATATATTTGACGATATATAATCACCTACTGTGAGGGTCGCTTTCCAAATTAATTTTCAATCAAGCTCTCGAACCTTAAGGACATTCCTCCACTGGGCAGTATTGCCATCGAAAATGGGGATTGGTAGTATAGCACCAAGGTTTCTCCTCTTCGCCGATTTGACACCAGTTTTCAAGGTCACTGCGCCCGCTGAGTATCCAGTGCGAATGCGGTTCGTTGGTGTCCCATCGTTGGCACGTAATACCATGCTCTGTACAGGATACACGACCGTTGTAGGTCAGACTGGTGACGTTATAACAGTCCTTCACTGAAGACAAAAAGACAACAATAGCCTATGAACGTTTAAATAATATATAGAGGAAATTCGTAAAACTGCCTTCATTTGTGCAAATAAATATTGGGATGTAAGAGGATTCGGCTATTGGCACAATATATCAGATATGGAAACGGAGTAGGGTATCGTAAAATATCTTGGCTGTAATCGAATGAAAAATGCATCATCAAGGCTTTTCTGTACCGGCGAATGACAGGATGAGTATTACAGCCCGATGTAATATACAATGTTCTGAATGACAGCCCTGTGTGATGTACAATGTTCTGTATTACAGCCCTGTGTGTGATGTACAATGTTCTGTATTACAGCTCTGTGTGTGATGTACAATGTTCTATATTATAGCCCTTTGTGTGATGTACAATGTTCTGTATAACAGCCATCCGTGTGATGTACAATTTTCTGTATTACACCCTTTGTGTGATGTAAAATGTGCTGTATTACAGCCCTTTGTAATTCCCTCGTCACGTCATAGCCATATACAAAGTACTAGTATACGCTTGATTTGATGAAGAAGATAAACAACTAAATTTATTACCAGGCACGCGGGGTAGGAATGTATCTTTCTTTATAGAAAAGGCGATGTCAGGCTTTCAGTTGACAGGTCTTGTTAGGTCGTTTAAGACCATAAACACTTAAACGACGGTTATAGATATAATATTTAAAATTTGGTTAAATCATGATGTTTTATTATAACGTATTGGTGAATGGCTAGGTGTGATTTTAAAACAGAAATGACAATGTATCTGAAGCTTTTCTTCTGATTTAACTATGGTTATAGTTAGGAATATAGACATATTCGTGCAACAAGTTAATAGTTAGAGCAAAAGCAATCTACAAAATAAGAATTCTCGAAATGCTTTATACTTAATTTCATACTGGCACTGACCTGTATCTCTACAAATCAGATCGAACTTTACGGATGTCTAAACTCATGTTAAAATATTAGGGCATGTGCGTTAAAACCCCTTCTGTCAAGTGTGTAAATTAAGAATCGTGCCACTACTCAAAAGAGATAAATGTGATCATCAAGTTTACAGAAAACGTTGGGGGCTAACAATCCGTCATCAGAGTTAATTATCTTGTATCTTGGAAGATAAACTTAAAACACCCCCCGGTGACTGCATACACATACTAAACTATTTACTAGGTATTGTACCCCCGATCGATTACTTATCGTTAATACATACCCATTCCTTTTAGCATTAAAATAAAGATATACCTGAACAGGAAAGGTTAGCTTTCGACCACATGAGGTTTCCGTCACAGAGCGTTACAGGGCAACTGGACACGGGGTCACCTGTTGTCAAGGACGTACACTGGTAACACGCCAATGCGTAAGAACCTCGATATGGCCATTCTGTACTGATTCCAGCTTCTGTCATGTTGGACGGGGTCAGTATAGTGGGCGGGGCTCCACAATGTATGTCTTGCACTGCACTGAAGTCCCACCTCATTTCTGGATCTGTTGTGTAACACCACGGACGCTGCTCCGATTCTACTCGACACCTGTTTCCCAGATCACTCCGCCCAGCCAAGTAATTCGGTGTATGAGGGTAGTTGGTATCCCACCTCTGACAAGTCACGCCCCTCACGGTACAGGTAACCCCTCCCTCATACTCAGACAAGCTGCTGTTGAACACCTCTTTCACTATAATGAAAAATAATCATAATAGAATGTTACTTTCAAATACTAATTGATATTTCGCACATCGCGAATTTACCGCAAACTGGCCGTTAGACATATGTACAAGGAGTTATGTTATACAAAGTTTTATTCAATTCAGGATTTATAAAATTAGTGAATGACAGAAAAAAATGTATTTCCATATATTGATATATAATTGAGCTATGGCGTGTTGCTATGCCTATTTCCCCATAGCTGTGATTCGCTAGCGATCGTGCCGCCGTGTGCTGTCATGAGGTAGTGGTCATCTATGTCTAATGATCAGGTAGTGGTCATCTATGTCTAATGATTAGGGAGTGGTCATCTATGTATAATGATCAGGTAGTGGTCATCTATTGTAAAATGATCAGGTAGTGGTCATCTATGTATAATGGCCAGGTAGTGGTCATCTATGTATAATGATCAGGTAGTGGTCATCTATGTATAATGACCAGGTTGATTTAATACCAATGATAACATTTTTTTTTACATTTCGGCCTAGTTTGACAAGTGAGAATTATGGACGGGTATGACTGTACAGTGCATTGAAGTGGGTTGCAGCGCAGAGGTAAATATATGTGTACAATGCACTTGTGTACCTCTTAAGAATTGTTTTGAAGTTTTTAACTCCTGTGTTTGCGATTGATTTTGGTTGCTTCTGTAAAATCAATACATGCATAAGTATGCAGTATCTAGTGTAGTCAGCGACCATGATAGACAAAGTTTGCTTTTTAGGTGTGTTGTTTGGTGATGAGAGAAATGTGTATGTTTTTCAACAGAAGTTGTCATTATGTGTTATGTACCTGAGTTAACGTTTGTAAATGCTACTACTGTGGTGTGTGAGGCAGGGGGCAGATGAGGGGGCGGGGGGCTGGAGGGTTTTTCTTTGTGGGGTACTGGGTTTACCGTTGTGTTGGCTGTGGGTAGTATAAAAGTTATATCTATGAATGTAAGGGGACTGATCTCTGATAGTCTAAAGAGGAGAGATGCATTCCACTGGATCAAAAAGAAACGTTTTGATAGTATCTGCTTGCGAGAATGGGGATATACATGCGTGTTTGGTAATTATACATCTAGATCAGCAGGGGTAGCTATATTCTTGAGAAATACATTTGAATATGTAATACATGGTAGTAGAGTAGATAGTTGTGGAAGATTTACTATACTTGATATTTCAATAAACCAGAATAGATTAACTCTAGCATGTTTATATGGTCCAAATCAAGACTCCCTCTTTTCTTTGAAAACTTTATGGCAACCCTACAAGCGTTTAACAATACTTCTATGATACTATGTGGTGATTGGAATTCTGTACAGAACAAAGAAATGGAAACGCACAAAAGTATTCACAATAATAACCCCAAATCCCAGGAGGCAATAACAAACATAATTAATACATATGATCTTATAAATCCATTGAGATGCTTTAATCTTGATTTGCAAAAAATCTTAAAAACAATCTTAGTAGCTGATAAGTAACACCCTTAGTAACTTATAAGTAACAACCTTAGTAACTGATAAGTAACACCCCTATCAACTTATAAGTAACAACCTTAGTAACTGATAAGGAACATCCTTAGTAACTTATAGGTAACAACCTTAGTAACTGATCAGTTACAAATAAGCTACTGTTAAGTAACAAATAAGCTACTGTTAAGTAACACTCTTAGTAACTAATATATAACAACGTTAGGAACTGAAAAGTAACAACCTCAGCAACTTATAGGCAACAACCTTAGTAACAGAAAGAGAACACCATAATCAATCACAAAATATCGAGGTGTCTCAACTCTTGATTTGAAAGAATTATCTAAATACACTCTCTTATTCGTTAGGAAACATTGCATTATCACGAAAACAAGAAAAGGCTAGATAAGTGCGTTGTAACATGACACCGTAACGCAGTATCGTTTGAGGTAATGATATAAAAGTAAGAACATTACAGAATATCACCAATTACAAAAAAAAGATACCTCACCCGAATCATGTCACCTAAATTCGGCTCAGTAGTTTAAATACCCAGAAATCAGCTGTGTTACCTGAACATGAGGCAGGTGTGGGTGTGAGGTTGTGTTGACCATCACAGCTTACTACTGGACAGTGGTCGACCGGCGGTTGATCAGTATTTGTCGTACAACTGTACTTAGCTCGGACACTGCTGCCGTGGTATGGATACTCCAAGCTGTATCCCGCGGGAACGGGTACTGATTGACATGCATCTGTAACAACAAGAATTGAGTTGTTTTTTTAAAGGAACATGTGTGGAACAGAATAGTAAGTGAACTCGGACCCAGAAACAATTTTCAGATTATCTATACATACGCTGCCTTAACAGAAATTACAGTGACCATATAAGTGGACACTTAATCGATGACATTAAGGATCTCTGTCCAACTTTTTGTGAGTTTTCGTATATACAGTACTCTCAGAATGCTTGCTGATTAGATTATTTTTTCATCTAAAGTATTTTTTACAAAAGACAAGCGAGGTATAGTATTTTCAGAAATGATTTCCCAGACCCATAGTCTTAGTTACAGCTTTTACACTGGTACGGGGATCCTTAAGTCTTAGTTACAGCTTTTACACTGGTACGGGGAACGTTAAGTCTTAGTTACAGCTTTTACACTGGTACGGGGATCCTTAAGTCTTAGTTACAGCTTTTACACTGGTACGGGGATCCCTAAGTCTTAGTTACAGCTTTTACACTGGTACGGGGGTCCTTAAGTCTTAGTTACAGCTTTTACACTGGTATGGGGATCATTTAGTCTTAGTTACAGCTTTTACGCTGGTACGGGGATCATTAAGTCTTAGTTACAGCTTTTACACTGGTACGGGGATCCTTTAGTCTTAGTTACAGCTTTTACGCTGTCACGGGGAACCTTAAGTCTTAGTTCCAGCTTTTACACTGGTACGGGGATCCTTAAACGGCAATGAATGACGTCAGTACACTACCATGGTAATGGTGCAGAGGGGCTGAAAGTGAAAAGAAAGAATGATGTTCATGTCGTATTTAAGAATAAAACTATGATTACAAGTATAACATTGCAATAGTGGTGATAGCGAATACCAGACATAGGCACCATACCAAACGTCAATCGAGTTCCACTCCCGGAAAGCACGTGAAAAGGTATGGGGTCACCGGCCAAATCACGTGGGTTTTCTCCGGTGTTCAGGTGCCTCAAGAATTAAGACCCCCTGAGCGTTAACATCCGGGCCAACACGAGTGGTTGATATAAGTTCATATGCCTTGTTTCATAATCGTCATAAAATAACTACATGTAATGTTTATATTATATACATATAATCATTTTTTTCGGCCTCGGTCGGTGTCTTCAAAGACGTCTAACACTAACAACGAACCCTATCCCTTATGAGAATCGTACATGTAATTGTTGTGGGATTTTAGAGGACGATTATCATTTCCTTTTGGAGTGTACCTTATATTCTAACATAAGACATATGTATATCAAGAGAAGGTATTTTCATCACCCAAATAGACCAAAGTTCATGGAACTAATATCGAACTAATATCGTCTACGAGCAAGAGAACATTGAAAAATATTGCCGCATTCATTTTAAAGCGAATGAGATACAGAACAATAACTTATTTAATCAGGAGTAACGTCCGCCCTGATGTCGTGAAACCTACATTTAAGTATGGAAAGTCACCGATTTACTTTATTTTATATTTATGTAATTTAATGCATTGTACCACTACATATATCCTTGTATATGCAATGTATTTATGGCACAAAGACATTTGTGTCTATTGCTGAATAAAGATTATTAAGATTATTAACAATTTACAATAACTAAACAATTTCAATTCACTGTCCAGAACAGACACGAATGCATTTTAATATTTCTCTTTGGAAAAATGCACTTGGTAATATTAAATCTCTGACGCAAATGTTTTGGGATTCGACATTTTGTTATACAGTACATATATCAGGCTACTTGGCATAATACCATGACGAAGTTCTTGTGGCATTAGGTCTGCTATCTATTAATTTTTATTTTATCCTTTTTACATGACGAAAATAACATGTTTACCATTCTGTTTGATATTTCATTTTCATCAGAAATGGGTAGAAGATTTTGTATTTATATTCCTCCTTCATATTACAAATACATGTAAAACGTGTTTTTAGTTTCCAATGCCTCCGCTAGGAGTCGAACCCGCTCCTCTGGTTTACTAGTCTTACGCTTACCAGAAATTCTCCCTTGCCTTTTCGGAAGGAACCGGTTATTTTGTTTTACCGGGATGACATACTCGCTTCTCCAGGGCAGAATTCGACCCGAGTCTTCCAGGGGTCAAAGCGCTTCCTGTGAACGTATCGCTGGTTTATCCCGGGGTTAAGTGACAGCGGATCAAAGGGATAGTTCTTATTTTAAAATTTAATTAAAATTTAAAAGAAAATAATCGTAAGATAATTGCATTTATGCTCATGTTTACGGGTTCAATTTTGGTCTAATTCTTTTGGCCAAGGAAACAATTTACCGATGATGCAAGGCGAACATAACGTTCAAAGTGTACATGATTACGTAATCTAGCTAAGCAAGCCTAATAGTAAAAACTTAAGTGTTTATTATCCATTTTCTTCTGAAATAGAACTTGAGATGCATGACTGTGTAACTAAAATTTCACATACATTTGTACCTGTTGGTTGTGGGTGTATATATAAAATTCTGTATAATTTCCCTATCGATGTAGAAATTGTCGGTGCGATCCAAATATCTAAACCAGTAAGTGTGTGTGTGTGTGTGGGTGTGTGTGTGTATGTTTGTGGGTGGGTGGCATGGGTCAACATTCTCAAAAGTCAGGTGATACCAATACTGCAAATGAGTTTATTTCAAATTCGAATTTAAGCGGGTAGGATATACTTTTTGTGCATAAAACCAAGTCACATCAGTAGATTACCTAGAACAAATAAATTAGTATAATCTTGAAATGTTAATATGATATCCGCTTACATAGGGAATTCCACCTTCGGGCTTTTCAAATTTGGCAAAACCCACGGAAAACCCCTCGGGTGGACTTTCCCTATCCTACACCCCTGGACATGAAAGGGATATTGACCGAGACGAAGTCACCAAAAATCACGCGCTACAAGTCAATAGCGGTTTTTATCGGTGGACACTGAATGCTCCTCTGCCGAAGACCGAGGTGAATATTGTTTAGACCAGGTTCGAAATCAGGGATAGACCGGGGAGTTTATAACCAGTGTACATGGGTTTTTGAGGACTGGTCACGTGTATAGGATCCGACCAATATGATTGCGGTAATGTTCAAGCATATAATAACACAAATTACCGACCTCCACGTGATTATGATCGAACTAATGAGGAGGTAGGGGAAATGTGTCATGTAATATTGGTATTTAGACTGTTTAAATATACAGACCTTGTTGCCCCTATTTGATTTATTCATTATTTCATCCATTTTTCACAAATACTGTTTACCGTCTTGCTTTAAATTCATTCGTTCTGTTCCTTAAGTCTTCAACAAGCTTATTTTTTAGACTTTACATAGATTTTAGGATTCTTTCTCCCTTGACATATCATTAAGTCGTAGACTTTAACTTTCTCCCTTGACTTATCATCAAGTCGTACACTTTAACTTTCTCTCTTGACTTATTATTAAGTCGTACACTTTAACTTTCTCCCTTGACTTATTATTAAGTCGTACACTTTAACTTGATTTATATTGAATTTGCTACTTAACAGTAGTGTTTACTTTCCCAACATTCTCCGACAAGAACTGGCGAATTGTACACGTACATGTTTCAGCTGATCATGTCACGTGTGGAATTGATCAGGATAAAATCGATTGCTACAGTGATTTGTATATTACTGCAGAGCATCACATTAACATGTAAATCACGTAGCTAGTTCCACTGAATGATTAATTGATTTATTTAGAGCGACCGCAATTTAAACCTAACATGAAACGTACAAAGGCTGTCAACATCGATGTTTCTAATAGCCTACTTAGGAATATATCAATGACATGAAGTGCTCACATTAGGTTATTAATATTGTATTTCCTATACGCAAAATATTGACTTCTCCATGTCAACGGAAACAGTTTATTGCGCAGACGAAGATAAATATGAGTGTTTATCAGGACACAAAGCAAAAGACAGTAACACAGACATATTTTTATTGATTTTTAAAATTAGCACAGACGAAAGTTGATTTCGAAAGCAAGTATATTCAAACATGCACATAAACTGAGAAATATCAACAAAATAAGTGGAATAGCACATACACACGTTTAGATTAATAAGTGGAATAGCACATACACACGTTTAGATTAATAAGTGGAATAGCACATACACACGTTTAGATTCACAAAGACGATGAACATTTAGACAACCACGCACATGTGCACATTAAGATTAACACACCAAACATCTAAACTAATTTGGTTTGACATTTAGATTTTCACAGAGAGACGATAAAATTATCACAGAGAGACAATAAGAGTATCACAGAGAGACGGTAAGATTATCACAGAGAGACGGTCAGATTATCACAGAGAGACGGTCAGATTATCACAAAGAGACGGTCAGATTATCATAGAAAGAATTTAGAAATAACATAGCCAACCATTTAGATTATCATAGCCAAACATTTAGATTAGCATAGCCAAGCATTTAGATTATCATAGCCAACCATTTAGATTATCATAGCCAAGCATTAAGATTATTATAGCCAAACATTTAGATTATCATAGCCAAGCATTTAGATTATCATAGCTAAACATTTAGATTATCATAGCCACACATTTAGATTATCATAGCCACACATTTAGATTATTATAGCCAAGCATTTAGATTATCATAGCCAAGCATTTAGATTATCACAGCCAAGCATTGAGATTATTATAGCCAAACATTTAGATTATCATAGCCAAGCATTTAGATTATTATAGCCACGCATTTAGATTATCATAGCTTAACAAGTCTATCTATCAAAACATTTACATCAGCACAGACAAACCTTTCGATTAGCACAGACTTACCTTTTAGAATAGTAAAAAGGGCCTATTTAAGCTATTACACACAACTAGTTACGTTTACTAAAGATGTTTTCTATGTTGGTAAGTAAGGATTGTATACAAGTTCACAAAGTACAACCTGTGAAGTACAATCTGTTCTGATTTCTGATGAACTCAGACAATTAGATGATCTGAAACAGTTTAAACATAGATTGACATTAATTAAGGATTGAATCTTGCTTTGGTCGATTTCATGGTGTGATGAATTGAGTTGGTATTGAAACAAATTGAATGAACTGCGAAGTTCATGTTTTCATAATTTTCAAGACCAACTCAGTTCATCATTCCATGAAATCGACCAAAGCAACATTCGAACAGTACACTTCAATCAACATGTGTATATTTTTCAATACAAAAATGTAATTTGAACTTGTGAAAGTCCATTCTGATAGTTTGTCCCAGATTCTGCCTATGTATTGACGTAATGTCAAAACTACAGTCCGATCATACAACACGATGG